CCGAGTCTTCCTTTTCTCATATGATAGTTTGCTGTTAGAGGTGTTCCCCCATCCCGCCCGCCTTTCTCACTAAGCTTTTTGCATACTGCAGGGTGCCACTGATCAGGGTTGCGGCCCTCCCGCCCACTCCTTCTCTTGGGCTCTGCTAACCAGGGTTTGTGGCGCCCCTGGGCCACTCAAAATTGGGTCGGGCTGTTGTTCGTAAGCTCTAATTTTAAGCCAGCCCAACGCCCTAACCGAAGAAGTTCCTAGCGTAGTTGTTAGGACATAAGGGACTGTTCACAAATAGGTACGGGCTGCCGGATAAGACAATAGGTCCGGGCTGCCGGATCAAACATTAGGTCCGGGCTGCYAGTCCTGACATTGGGTCTGGGCTGCAGGTTCTGACATCAGGTCGGGGCCGCGAGTTCTGTCACAGGTCCGGGCTGCTTCAACTGTCATAGGTCTGGGCTGTAACGCCTGGGGTAAGTGCCCGAGTACATCTTCTGGCGGTCCAATGGAACCCGACACGATGGGGCCACAACCGACTACGAGCAAAGCGGGAGAAGAGTACAGGGCATCGCCCGATCGAGCACTGAGGGATCTGAAGGAACGAATTAGGCAAGAAGCACCGCTGAGATGGGCTGACCAAACCAATGACGGAGGGCCCGACATGAGAGGTGAACCAGTTGCGACAGAGCCACAGGAGGCTCTAAAGACGGGTACCTCGAGCGGACGACGAGAAACGACGAGGCGGCGCTCCCCCGAGTACGAGCGGAGGGACATTATAGCGGACAGGTACAGAGACGACTAGAGAGAGAATTTGAGGGATTCCTATTGGAGGGACAAAGATAGAGACAGGGCTCCGCCCACGAGTCTTCGACCCCCAGACAGGGGAGTCACATCCGCTCCCTTACGAGAGCAAGGACTGCTATATTATTACACACAAGGTCTCAGAGCCTCCAACCTTCAGGGGCTATGGTATCACAGAATATCTGGAGAAGTGGGAGCTTCACGTCAGCCGGAGTCGGTGGTCGGAGGAAGAGATTATAGAGAACTTCCTATTTAATGTGGACCCAAGTCTTGGTAGGGAAGTTAAGGAAGCTCGACCGAAGGATGGGAAATGGACTACGTACAAGAAGAATCTCGTTGAACTTTACAAACTGGAGGACAACAAGTATTCCATTAAGGACCTTGAAACAATAACTCAAGATGAAGATGAGAGCGTACGGGCATTTGGGATGCGTTTTCAGAAGATCTTCGACGTGCTGATGAAGAAGGGGAAGATCTCAGAGGTCGAGCACTGTACTATCTTCATCGGACACTTGTCCAAAGGTAGGCAAAAGAGTATACTTAGAGATCTTCCGCGCGACAGGCTTGATTTCCCAGAAGTCCTAAAGCTCGCGATAAAGGCCGAGGCAGACGATTACAAGGACTTGGTGTGGAGAGGGATGAGGAGACGCGACTTCTCTCTCTACAAGGAGTATGCCACTGATAGATGTCCAGATTTCAAGGACTATCCCTGGTCGGAGAAGAATGAGGCCGTGGCTGAGGAAGTGAAGGAGATACGGGACATGGTGAAGGGATTGACGAGACAGGTTACGGAGATTGTGACCGCCACAGGGGTCAMGRCBTACCGGGACAAACYTGGAGGGCCCTATTCGCTTCGCTGGGACCGTAGGAACAACGATCCCTGGAGGAGTGTCGAGGATAGAAATCCYCGGACACTGATTGATTATCGTACGAGGGGGAGAGAGAGAGACGATGAATTATGGCGACGCAGGGACGATGAGATAGACCGAGACCGCAGAGATCGTGAGCTGTTTGTGCGAGCAAGGAGGCTCGATGATTACCCCCGAAGCCCTCGCTATGAGGCCGATCGGGGTAGAGGCGACTCCCGCGGCCGATGGGAGAGGGACGGCAGATACGAGAGATCGGACCGGGATGGATATAGGGACGACAGATATGAGAGGTCGGGTYGAGATGGCTACAGAGGAAGTAGATATGAGAGAGGAGATAGGGACTGRGAACGACAAGATGGGTCACGTGGACGGTTTRAGCGCGGGGGAGAAGCGAGAGAGCAGCKCGACGAGACGYGAGGATGGTACRACCGAGGGGACCGACGCGATGAGTCACGAGGACGCTATGACTCGGGGGACCGCCGGAATGACTCGCGAGGGCAGTATGAGTTAGGAGGGTCTGGAGGAGACCGGCGCAACGATTCGCGCAGTCGGAATGAGAGAGGGGGATATGGTGTCTCATCAGAACCATATCCAAAGTCGCCTGACCCCAACGCGGCCAGGAAATCGATGTCTAGGGGCGCAGACGACAGGGCGTCTACTCCCAGGAACTAATGCGTCTATAGTTTTGAGGAGAAAATCATATCAAGAGGGATTGCCCGGATCTTAAACGGGCAATAGAAGAGGGACTTGTCGTGCTTGACGACCGCAAGTACGTCAAGTGGGCTGATGATCTCGGAGATGTATCGATGTTCCCTTCGATGAAGGAGAATGTCGAAGCAAGAAGAATAAAAACGAGTAAAGGAATGGAGCCGGTTAGGGGCCACAGCATCAAGATAACCTTTGAGGGGGACATGGCGACCACACCCATAACGGTGGCAGCCACCAAGCCGGCGAGAGTGTTTACATCGAAGAAAACTGACACGGATTACGTGATGGTGGAGAAGGACGGGCAGCGGGTTGATGGAGAGGAGGTTATCCTTTCGCCGCGAAAGCGGGGAGTGAAGAAGTTCTTAATGAAGAGCTCGCTGGACGAGATTGACACGATCGAGCCATTGAGGCGGGCCCTTCGGCAACCCATGCAGTGCTCTATTCTGGAGTACCTGGCGGCATCGAAGCCAGCTCGTGATGAGTTACAGATGATCACGAGGAAGACCCGCATACCTCTATCGGAGGAGGGTCACGCCCCTAAGGCGGAAGCTTCTACARTAACAGTAACTGGGGTGACTGCMAGAGCGGATCGCATGGCGACAGTCCTTCTCGATGGAATGGAAGGTGTGCCACCAGACAAGTTTTATATACTTGGTAGCGGGGCCGTGGAGACGATTATAAACGATGGAGCGGTACTCGATGCTGTGATTGATAACGGGAGTGAGGCTGCTTGAACCGGTCGATTTATCGTTTGACTATTGAGGGTAATTGCGGTTTGTACCGGCCGAATTCCGGRTTGACTATAGAAACACAAAGCTGACTGATTCAACTGTTTTGACGATTGACTAAGAAGACTCATTGTTGTCTGAACCTGTTAATTTACCAGCCGACTGATCAAAACCGTTGGCGGTGTGAAGTTGTAAAACAAAGAAGAAAGAGAATAGAAAAATAGGTAGCGAGACAGGGTGTCTYCTACCAAGTTCCCTGCCGTTCGTTGAGGACCTCGGAAGCGGGCACGGCGAGTGACAGGCGCTGCTGCCCCTGACTTCAACGAGCGGTAGGCGTCCCCTCCCCGGGTTTCCTCACAACGTGACTCTTCCTAACTACCCAACTATCGAATGTCTGATGAGTTGTTATTCTTGATGGACCAAACCGAGGAACGGTTGTGTATTCCTCATAAAGAAGAGATTAAAAGCATAGTAATTGGAGAATGTCATGACACCGAGGGACATTTTGGTTTCAATAAAGCATACGCTGAAGTCAGAGAACGTTTCGACTGGAAGGGACTAAAAGAAGATAAAACTAACGTATGTTCGTACCTATCTGGTGTGTCAGAGGAACAAACCATCGCATGAGAACCCTTTGGGTATTCTCAAACCATTGCCTATACCAAGCGAATCAGGTGAGTCTATCTCTATGGACTTCATGAGTCTGGTGAAGAGCCGCAACGGTAATAGTCAAGTGATGGTGATTGTTGATCGCTTCTCTAAATATGTCATGTTTATTCCTTTACCGGCTGAAGCAAAGACCGAACTTGTGATCCAAAAGTTTCAGATGAAATGGGTAATTGATTATGGTTTTCCTTTATCCATTTGTGTCTGATCGTGATATACGGTTCACAAGTATGCCATGGTAAAAGCTGATAGAGGCATACCGGACACGTTTGACCATGTCATCAGGGCGACACCCTGAAACGAATGGGCAAAGTGAGCAAATGAACCGTTTGTGCCAACAACTCTTGCGCATGTATGTGAGACCTGATCAAGTTGATTGGGATGAGAACTTACCCTAAATTGTTAGTGCCTATAACAACAATGTTCACACTGCTACAGGACGTAGTCCTAACGCACTGCACAAAGGATGAAAACCTAGGTGTCTCATTGATGTGCTCACCCGGGACCAATTCCTTAGGTTACCTCCAGGAACAAGAGAATATGTAGTTTTGTTCCAAGAAGATATAAAGAAAGTAAAAGAAAACTTAAGGAAAACCCAGGAACAAATGATAGAACAGACCAATAAGCATCGACGACCATCTACATTCAAAATAGGTTAGTGGGTCTGGGTCAAGTCCAAAGAGTTTTCATTAGAATAAGATGTGTCTCAAAAACTGTTACCTGTCTATTTTGGACCCTGGGAAGCTCTAAAGGTAATAGGAGATACAGAGGGACCATCATATCGTATAGATATTCCTCCTCATCTCAAAACTTAACCTGTTTTTCACGCGTCCAAACTGTTGCCTTATGTAGAAGGAAATGAGTTTCCTAACAGATCCTCTATGATTTCGCCATCAATGGAAGGCAAATATGAAGTTGATAGAATCATAGCACATGGGTACTTTTCTACAGAAGCACGCGGACGTCCTCAGAAGCAGTTTAAAATACGTTTCAAATCTCAACAATCATCAGAGGATCGATGGTTCAGTTAAAAGGAACTACTTGAGACTGCTCCTGACATTGTTGCTGCTTATGAACGAGGGTTAAAGTCGTAATTATTTATGTGGTGGAACTCGAAAATGGGTCGGCAGGAATGCAGTAACCCTGTTCAGAAGTAGCTGGGGCCCAGAACTCAGCCCCAGACTTCGCAGACCAAAACTGGTCTGCGCCGAGCTGTGTGACCAACACATGCCCAGATCTGAGCAGGTCGTGCTTGGCTGTGGGATTAAGTGTTAAACTCAGGAAATTCAAGAGTCAAAGTCAACTGTCAAGTCAAAGGTACCACGCCCAGGCCCCTGGTTGGATACACTCACTTGTTGTGCGCAGGTACCCAGACTACAGGCCGGAGAGAATACAGTTTCAGATCAATCCAGGCCTTCATTGGTGGTAAGATCTGGACGGCGAAGGGATGCAGTACCCGGGGTCCAGACTCCGTGTCAACGCTACATAAGCGTCGACTTCCTGGCTTTGACATTCATTCATTCTGTCTTGCGTTAACGCTGACTCTACGCATTGACGACGCGACGCCGTCTTGACGCTGCGACGTTGGTGGACGCTGGCATAGTGCTGGCATTGGTGAGACTGTGGTGATGCGCTGCTGGTCGGTATGCTGACTGGCTGGCTACTGTCTATGAGGCATGTTGACATGGCAGCTGCCACGCGTTGCTGCTGACGTGGCTGCTGCCACGTGTCATATAGCCGGGTCTTTGTGACCGGCTCTGCTGTTCTTCACTTCGGCACTTCAGGAAGAGATCAGGACCGTTCATCGTTACTTCAGGAGGAGATCAAGACTGTGTGGAGGTTGTGGATACGTACCTGTGATCTTCATGTTGACATTGCTCCAGCGCTGATTGGGGACTGATTAGGTGCCACGTGGCACATTGTAGAAGGACTTCGACTATGTGTTCAGATTACTGGTTCCGCGAGGTGGCGATTGTGTAGGGAGCCCGGAGAAGGAGTGGGCCTTTTTTTTTAAAGGGTGGCTCACATCATATTGCAAAAATATGAATGAAAACAGGGTCGGGGACCCACAATTTAACCCGGAGTAGCACTCTGGCAGCATTAGCCAGCTTCGCTTCCAGTTCAGAACCAGCTGGTAAATTACCACTCAAACACTCCTTCTACTATGTTCATCGACAACCCAACCATATCCAACCAAAATGTAAGAAAAGTTTACAATCAGCAGCCAATTTGAAAACAATATGATCAACTTAAAAAAAAAAAAAAAAAAAAAAAAAATCAATAGAAGTTTGAGTTCTCACGAAAGCTCACGAATCACATGTTCGTTATGTCAATCAATGAATGTGGTCTACAAAGCGACCAGATGCAGTGCAACAGGAAACTTGTAGAACACACCGAGGTCAACCAAACCATTACTCACTGTGCATGCACCGTATCCTCCTCCTTCAGCTCACTCTTCAGCACTAGCAGTGGCCCTTTCAGACTCTGTCAATTATCATGTATCATGGGACGCTGAACCCGGTTTCCAGCAGGTGCTGCTCCCCATCAATAGACTAGAGCATCCGGCAGGAAATAAGAAATAAACAAGGAAAACAAAAAGGAAAAAAGAAGGTAAAAAAAAAGGAAAAAAAAAAGGGGGAAAAAAGAGGAAAAGAAAAAAGGGAAAACAAAAGGAAAAAAACAAAGAGAGCAAATAGGCAGAATTCATCCCAACCACATCTCCTTGATTTCGTTCACGACCTCATTCACCACAAAGTGGTTGCCTTCTTCGTCATCAACTACCGTGCCTAGATTAGCGTCCTGAGGGCAGATCCCATCCTCATAGCAACGCTCAACTGAGTCCCGAACTCCTTGGGCATCCCTAGCAGCTGCTGATGGTATCAGTGGTCTGTACGGAGGGACCCCTGGATGAGACGTCATGGCTCAGAGGAGGCCGATCCGGGGAAGAGATGACTCTGTAAGTTAATTGGTAATTAATTAATTAATTAAATAATTAATTAATTAGTACCCACCACTTCTGAGGATACCCGATCGAGGCAGAGAGGAGCGTGGTCGCTCCGTGCGTGACACCGTCTTTAAGACTGCAGCAAATGGTGAGTGCACGACCTTGACACAGGGCGCTTTCGCTCCGCACAAGGTAATCACGATTACCGCGGTGAATCTCACAGGGCCTGGCCTCTTCATGCGTGAATTTGGCCAGGAACTCGGGAAAAAGAGACACCCTGCCACTTCTTAATTCTCACTAGGCCTTCATCCTCTTCCTTCATTCTACACTGAATACACCTTCTACTACTAGATTAGGGTATCAGTGCTGTTCCGTGAGAGCGAGTAAATTTGCTGACTCGTTTGCTTTCCCCTCGCCCTGAATTTTACCTCTCCTTGCTTCACGCTGATGAAGGACCGAGGAGGGTGGCTTGTGGCTGTTCTCCCGCTGAACGACTTGGTGTTGAAGCTTCGACTATGGTTGTTGGTGTCCTAACCTACTGTGGCTCTGGACTGTTCTGGGAGTACGATGCATCCAGGTAAAAACCTACGTCCGCGAAGTGGAACGAGCATGACTCCCGACCTGTTCCTCGTCTCGACGGCGAAGTTCTCAGGAGAACAGCGCTACGCGCGGTGAAACGAGTAGCGGCGCTGTTACTGGAGCGCTAACGCTACTCCGCCCGGTACCAACGCTCCATGCGAATCAAGGCAAGTGAAAGAAGATCTGATACGGGCGTTTGAGGATGGATGGACTGCCAAACAGTTGTTTGGTGATGAGAACAAAAGGCGCAGAGTTAAATTCGAGGGTCCTAATGTGGCGTCCTATGTGGCACGAGCAAAAGAGGTAGCAGAGTGGCTGATCCGTCAGAAAGAGATGAAGATCACTTTAGAGAGAGAGAAGAAGGAATTTTTAGTTTACTTTAAACCATGGATGCCCCTAAGAGAGCTACGAGATTTTGGATTACAAGAGGCAGAATCCAAATTCTGGATTGTTGCGCCGAGAGTGCCTCTCGACACATATTTTTTTCTTCGAAGTGCAGTTCAAGGAATGTTTGGGGAAGTTTTGACTATGCACGCACCGGAATACGATAGTTCAAGACCCAAGCTAATGAATGTCAAATTCGATATGCATCCGAGTACAAGATCGAAAGTTGATGATGACCTGGTTATTCAGTTCTCGGAAGGTGAAAAATGGGAAGTAGAGATTGCAACTCCCTACACCGATTGGTGTAGGAGATGCAAATGATACTTTCATACAGAGGAGAACTTCCCCCGGAACAGGCAGGATGGAGAACAAAGAGGAGCTCCTGGCGTCAGACTGGGCGGTCACCAGGCGAGATTCAAGCAGCACAGGGAGAACCAGAACAAGACTGAGAGGAGCGTGGATGGGAGGCACCAGCAAGCAGCAGCAGCGGCGACACCGGTCC